TTAATTATAAATTAATAACTTGGTTTTTGATATTTAATTTATAAATTTTATGGAAAAATGTATATTATATATAAGAAATTTGCAGTATTTATTATAAAATAAAAATAAATATTGTACTAATTGTTATCATCTAATATCTAGGTTAATTTATTTAATGAATGAAATATTGAACTAAATTGACCTTTCAATATAGATATTCTAAATTTAAGAGATTCCTACTAATCTTCTACCATATTAAATTGTCTATGTATTTTTGTTTTTGATAGATGATCAATTGCATAAAATATTGATGAAGCCTATAAAACTTACTTTTTAGTTATCTTATCTTAGACTTCTCTATACTAATCTTTTAGTTGTGAAAAGAATTACAATCCTCCTGTTTTATTCACAACAATAAAATAATAATTTAATATCTATCCTTCTTAGTTATATTATAATAATAAATGTATATACTATTTATATGTTAATTATAAATCTAAAAGGTATTTAGTAATTAAATGAATATTGAATAATTTTGATCAAACATTATATAGTTTTTTTTAAATTGATTATTATTTCACATAAAAAATAATATAGAATATCTTTAAAACATATATACATATAAATTTATTTTATCTATATACAAATAAAATAAAATTAAAATAACAGTTTAATCTAAAGAAAAAAATACTTTACTATTTATTATTTTATAACAAAATATTATTAATTAAATGATACCTAAAATTATGAAATTTAATATAGTAAAGATTTATGAATTATTTTTTATTTAAACTGATCATTTAAACATTTCAACTGTTGTTGACAGATGATTATATTTATTAAATTATTTTATTAATTGAGAAATCATTTATTGTAAATGGTTTGTTGAAATAGATATCTAACTAGTTAATTAGGTTTTTGTACACTCAGATAATAATTCAACTTGGATGGATTAGATTGTTTTTTTTTAATATTAATATTTTTCTATTTATTTGCAAATATTTCCTTTTTATTATTAATTTTTTGTTAAGATATCACTGAAATTAATTATTTAAAGTTCTAAGTTATTGAAAATACTATTGCCATCCTTCTTTTTATTCATTAACTTAAATATTTCCTTATCCAAATTATTACCCATTTTTTTAATGTACATTTTGGCTGCAATCATGACTCTAAGAATAGGGCGAAAAATGAAAATAACAATAATCATTGAAATCGAAATTAAAGAGCAAGATATAATTATTTAGATATAAAAAGCTCTTTCATTCATCTATGAAACCATAAGTTCAAGTTCTAAGAAATTTTTTTACTATAATTGTTCAAAGCTCGCATTAGTAAACCTAATAACTAAATTTATATATACATCATTAATGTAAAATTGCCAGGAATTTGATTAGCTACTATCTTAATAGGTTTTTTATAAATCGAATTGTATCTACATAAGATTTATTTTTCATTCAATTAACAATTAGAAATGCTAGGATTTTAATTAGCAAAATTTAAAATTTCAATCCAATCTGTTTTATTGAATCCAGTTTTATTTTCTTCATATATAAAATTCAATTCTGTAACAGGTAGATTTAAATTAACATTTCTATATATTATTTGACCTTATTCATTTAATAAATAAGTGTTTGCTTAAATTAATTTCATATCTGGGTCCTCTGCATCTATATCAGTACCTGCTATTGCATCTAAGCTTTTAGTATATTGATTTTCTAATGAATAAGAAATTGTTTATTTATAAATAAATTGAGTGCCAGAAAAGTAAAGTTATGAGTAAAAATATTTTTAATCTTTTTCGTATTAATATTTATCCAAATGATTTACAAACCAGTTTTTTTATTATGGTGAGAAGGACCAATCGTAAATAACTTAAGGAAAAATAAATGCAACTTATATATCTCCAGTTGCCACATAGAAAATTCTATTATTTTATGTTGTATCAAATAAAAGAATATATTCAGATAATAATCTGGAGAATTTTTATAAATCTTGATATTTTTGCATTGAAGGTAACTTATTACCTTCTTTACAAAGATAACAATTTGAACAAGGTTCTGGAAGTAAAAATAAAAAATTTTTCTCTTCTAAAGTTTAACATTTAATTGCATCTTTATATTATTCAGATACTTGAAAATTATCCAATTATTAATAAAGAGAACCTAAACTTTTTAAAAGCTATATCCCTAAAAAATATAATAAAATAATACTTTGATGTTATTTGGAAATGAGATAATAATTTAGTTATGGAAGAAAGAGGTTAAGCGCATCTCTATCTTAACGTTACAAAACTATGGTAGAAGAGTTTTCATATATTCCAATGATTACATTTTTCTAAACTATATAAAATGATCCAATCAATATAAAACTGATTAAAAAAGCAGATATCTTAACCAAAAAAATCTAGTCTCTCATTTTTAGGTTTTGAAACTGTTTTCTAAAGGCTTACCAAATTGTCATTTATTAATCTTATTTAATTTTATTTCAAATTTACAACTTTATAATTATTTGACAATATAAAATAAAAATATCGATCAAGTATTACAATTAATAAATTAAAACATAATTCTTAATTTTTCTATTTATTCTCTAATGTAATAATATAATGAGTAACTATTGTCTTATACCTATATATGTATATATATAAGAAATATTAATGATATATATTTATATATTATATAATATTAAATGAGTGATAAATCAAAATCACCTCCAACTAAGAAATTAATCAAAAATAAAATGAAGAAGCAATTCTCAAATGAGAAATTCTCAACTAAAAACTACCAACCTTCAAGATTTGTTGTTGCAGAACGATTATAACCAATAACGTATATGAATTAGTTTCATTATTGATATAGATATAAAGCCTAAGAAATTCTTAGTGAATTTTAAACAAAAATAGAAGATGCTTTCTTTTCTTAACCAAATCAATTGAAAAGTATGTAGCCTAGTTAATAGAGAGTGCTATAAGTATCAATATTTTAGAATATTAAATAGCCTAAAGAATATAAAAAGAAACCGCTAAGAAGATAAGAGAATGATATGTAAATGTATAAAGACATCTTTGTGTAACCTAAAGCTGATGCATTGTAAGAGCTAAAAGAAAAAGAAAAAGATTTTGAAGCACTCTTTCATAAAGGTTAAGCAAAATAATATGACAAAATTCTAAATATTAAAGATGATGAAGAAAAACCAGTAAAAAATTTATTGGGATCATTATTAAATGAATAACTAATGAAATCTACAGCCCCAATTGATAATATTGATTTGAAAAAAGAAATTGATAAAGTGGCTTAAATGGATTTACCAGTTTAACCAGAAACTAACTTTTAGTTCTTTGATTAATAGATTTCTGTTCAACCACCTGATTTACCAAATGCTAGTATAGCATCTCCATTAACACCTGGAAATGGTTATGCTCCATCTATACCTTATACACATAATGTTAAGGAAAATAATAGAACTAGTATTAAGGATTTACTTGTAAGAGCTAAGGCTGGTATGTAAGCAGGTGATATTTAGAAGGAAGCTCATTTATCATTTTATTTAGGAATGGTTTATGAAAGTAGCAAAAATCATAATGAAGCTGTTAGATTTTATAAGAAATTTGTTGCATGTGCTAAATTAATGGAAGATAAAATAGGAATGGCATTAGGAACTAATAGAGTAGCATTTAATTATTACAATGCTGGTAATTTTACAAAATCAATTGAATTTCATAAATAAAATATATAGTACTCAGATTAAGAGAATATGTTTACAGGATTTTATAATTTGGGTTTAGCTCATAGAAGACTTAAGAATTATGAAGAATCTATTGATTATTTTTCGAATGCTTTAGAATGGGCACAAAAAAGAGATGAAGCAGAATCATCATGTATATCTTATGGTTAATTGGGTATTGTATTTTTAGAAGTCAAACAATATGATTAAGCATTTGAAAATTTTTAAGTAATTTATATGATAATAAAATATTTAATAGAATTGTTATGAATTGGCTAGAAGATTGAAAAATCATAAATTACAATTAGAGTGCTTATTGAATCTAATTAAAATATCAGGATATCTATAAACCTCAACTGAAGTTTAAACATAAATTTTAAAAAATGCCATTTTAGTAAATTTAGATTATATTATTTAAGTGTGCTAACCATTTAAATGAAAAATCAATTGCAACTTTATGTCTATGCAACTTAGGTGTTCTTGAATCAAAACCTCCTTTACCAAATTAAAATTATGACGATTTAGAATATGAATAATTTTGATAAAAAACAATATTTTTATTATAATAAAATGAATTCGACTTAATAAAAAATTTAGTTGAAAAGACCATAATAATATTTAAAAATGAATAATCAATTAATAAGTTATTAGATGATATAGAGATGTTAAAATAGACTTTTCTTTAATAAATAAAAATAAATAAACTTATATAGATATGGCTTCTATTCAAGAATTAGATTAGTAGATTTAAAATTAAGAAAAATATTTTAGTTAAAATAAAAGCCATCCATTATGAAAGATAATAATATAATAATAATTAGACTAAAAAAATAATTGAAATTTTGAAGATGTCACAAGACACATCAAAAATCTTAATTTTAATAAAATCCATTCTTAGAGATTTTTAAAAGACATTTTCTATCAATATATTACGAAATAATGAACATTAATTTTTAATATTTTCTCTTTTTCACAATTAAGGAAATCTAAGTTTGAATAAACTCATAGCAACATTAGAAATTTCTTTTGCTCTGTCATTCAACCAATCCATTTAATCTTAAGTTTATGCTACTTCTGCAAACTTTCTTGAAAATCTGATTTTTGTGAATGATTCAATTTCATTAAATTTAGCCTACATTACTATTTAAATTACCAAATCTTCATAATAATGATATATATCTTAGGCTGTATAATTATTTGGAAGTACATGATCAAATCTCTTAATTGGACTCACATATTTTTTAATAATTTCATCAAATTTCATTTTATTTATTAAAAATATAATAATTTGAGAAATGTTATATACAGCTTATTAAAATAAATAACTTAAAGTATGTTACGATTTAGAAACAAGTAATAGTATGAAGATTTTAAGAAGTATTAAAAAAGGAACAACTATTGCAAATATTTGTGAAGATAATTTATCAAATCTGAATATGTTTATAGATAGAACGGAGATTGATATTTATGTAAAAGAGGTATCAAATTAAAAGTAAATAAAACCTACTTTATAATAATTATTAAATGAATTACAGATTAGAATAACTGAATTATAAAACTTATCTTAAATGGAATAAGAATAAAATTAAAGTGATAATAGTGATGATTGGTAACCTGATAATGAGTAAGATGAGGAAGACGATTCTACATAATAATAGTGATATTTAATTAAATCAATTTAATACATTTTTAGGATACTTTCTTTTCATTTAACTTATACATTTTACTATATTTTCTTTAGGCTTAACATTCTTTTTTAACATTGCTTCATAGGTTTTTAATTCTTAATCCTTCAAATCATTATACCATGATTTTATAAGTATTCCATTTTCTAATAATAATTTTAATTAAATACGTGGATTTAATGACATTCCAGATGAAGAATTATCAATAATAAAGGTTTTATCTAAATTTGAATTAATTTTTGTTAAATCTTTATAAAATACTCCATCTTTCTTAGTACAACTCTAAAAATATTATAATTAATTTTTTTACATCTCTATAGTATCTTCTCTTGATGAATCCACTTGGATCTAAATAATCAATTACTTTGTCTGCATATTCCTTTAGAGCTGCTGTAAAAATAACCAATTCAAAATATTTAGATAAAGCTTTCAAGAAATCTCTTGCAAATGGTCTAATTTTGACATAATATTTTTCTATCGTGTTCCCTATTTTCACAAGGATTTCTTCATCAAGAAATGAAGTTCTTTCCATATCAGAGTGGATTAAAGTTTCATCTAAATCTAATACAAGAGTAAACTCTTTTTCTGTCAATTTTGCAGTTATTTTATCTTTGCAATCATTCTCAAAATCTAAACCCTTAACTTAGATAGGAGATCCCATCATTATTAAGATCGAACCTAACATTTCCCAACTCCATGAGATGATTTTCTTACATCTTTCAGTTGTTGAAGTATTTACTAAAGTATTTCCTACCATTTTAGCAATATTTGATTTAGAAATGTATTCCATTATTAAATTAATTAAAACGGGAAAGTGTATATTAATATTTATAAATGTAAAATAATATTATTGAATAAAATAAAATAGTTGTCAGAGTTAAGGATCCAACAATTAATTAAAATTAAGAGGAATTTGTAATTTATAATATAGAAGGATAAGATAATACAGGGGATTTTTAGATTTAACATCGTTTTAGTGAATTTTATTAATTAAGATCCTTACTTGCATTAAAATGGTAATACTGTTATATACCTGCATTACCTCCAAAAGTTATATAAGTAAAGTAATTGCAATTTAAATATAGGGAAATATGAGTCTATAAGTAATTTATTAAAGATTAATAATGTTAAACCATTTCATGAAATAATTATCTCATTTTTCATTTTTGTGGTATTCTCAAGAAGTTTAAACATTTTTAAGATAACAATATATAAAGGAAAGTAATTCTAATGTATAGTAAGAGAACTATGCTAATTTATTGATTTCTATTTTTCCAGATTTTGCTGAAAATATCATTGATTAAGAAATAGAAACAAAAATAAACTAATTTTATCTTTTTATTTAAAATGTTACTCCAATCCTTCAGAATTATAAAATTTTAATGAAGAATCAAATAAATGTTAGGTAAAATTATTAAAATAAGTAGTAAATATTATTTTGAATAAATAAATATTTTTTAAACCTATTTTATACCAGAATATGAGAAAATATTAGAGATAAATGTTGAAAACTTTAGATCTCGTTAAACAAGCAAGATATTTTAAAATGATCAGAATAATTGCATTTTAAGTGACACTGATAAGTAATTCTATATCATGTATATTTAGATTAAAATTGAATTAAATGAATTTTAAGTAAAATTATCATTAAATTTAATAGGTTTTAATTGAGTTAATTTAAAAAAGAGATTAATTAAAATTATAGATTTAAACTTTAAATGAATAACTCAAAAAATAAGTTAACTATGTATCTGAAATTTAAAATAATGGCTTAAATATAATTAAATAATTATTAACTACAAAAGAAAATGAAATTGAAAAATAATTATTTAATTTAAAATAAGTGATTTATTTTAATACTATTGTAGCTAGAAAAAGAATTGACAATGAAAGTATCACTCTTTTCCCTTATTACAAATAAATTAGGTTCAGATATTCAGTTTTTGAAAAGGAATTTTTCAGAAAATTATTATTTTGTAGTCAGAGAAATGAGTAAATTTTTTAAATAAAATGCTCAAAAAGTATATATACAATTTAGTATTAGAATATTACATATTACTAGAATCTATTATAATAAATAGAGAAATAAGAATTTTGAAATTAACTTGTAATTATATTTTATAATTATATATATTTATTCCTATTTCTCATATTAAATATTAATCTAACATTACTTCTTCATACTCTTTATAGATAATACTAATATTAATATTAATATTATCAATAATGTATTAATTGTTTAAGATTATATTATAAAGTATTCAAATAAAAATCTTAAGAATCTTAAATTTCTTTAACTTTTTTGAATTTAATATAAAAAGGAAGGATTGGAGAATTAATTAAAAGATTAGTTATAAACATTTATAAATACTTTGTATAATAAAAATTAGAAAAATAGGAACCAAAGTATAAATTATATAAAATTAAGTAAATCAATAATTAAATATCATTTATTTTTAAAAGATATGCTTGAATATAATTGATTATTTTATTATTAACTTAATTATTAAAATATAAAGAAATAAAAGAATCAATGAAACATTTTACTTCCAATAAAAAGGAATAAAAATCTATATTAATATTAATTTCATATATTTTAATACAATCAATTATAAAAAGAATAAGAATAAATAAATTATCAATGAATTAATAATTTAAATTTGAATACTATAACCGTTATGGTTTTTTAATTTAGTAAAATAAAAACTAGTATCTAATTTAGAAATTTTATTTTTCAGAAAATCTTAATAAATATTATATTTTTACTTAAAATAGATGTTTTTTTTATTTAATTTTTCATTTTAAATATATAGAAAACTTTAAAAAGGAAATGAGAACAAATAAATTAAAATATATCAGATTTCATATTATAATTTGATTAATTACATATAACAAAAATAAATTATAATTTAATATATGAAATAATCATTTTAAGTCTGTAGAAATTCATAAAACAAGTCCCATCGAAATTATTCTGTAAGACCTACTTCTTCTATGGCAGAAGAAAATTAAGTAAGGAATTTCAGATTGTTTTCTTAAACTTAAGGATGTTCAATAACAACTAACTAACCACAAAGAATAGAACTACCCTGTTTTTTTAATACTCCAGCTAGATTTAAGAACATGAATGTATTATTTAATAATAGCTAAAGAGAAAAATAAAATTCAATTGTCAGAAAAATAAAACGATCCAAAAAGTCTCTAAACTCCTGAATTATGTATATATCTATAGGCTCAAAGAAGATTGAAAGATTATGAAATGTTGGCATTTGCTTGTAAAAGAGCAGGTAAGATCAAAGATGAAGGAAGAGCTTATTATAGTATGGGAGTATTATTGGACAATATGGGTAAATGGAGTTAAGCTATATAATAATATGAGAGATTTCTATAAATATGCACTAAAATAGATGATTAGCATGGATGTGGTTTAGCTTATAATTGTATAGGAGCAGATTATTAGTTAATGGCTGAATCAAATCCAAAGTTTATTGAAAAAGCAATTGAATTCCATAAGAAACATGAAGAGATTTCAGATAGTAATGGTAAATTCTTGGCATCAATAAATCTGGGTTTATGTTATGATGCTAATACTTAATTATCTATGTTTTACTTTTAGTAAGCTCTAAAGCATGCAATGAATATGTCAAGCAAATTAGGATAAACAATTGCTATTGCTAATATTGGTAGAATAGGACAAAAAGGTTTATATGATAATGCTGAAAAAATGAAAGTATAAATTTAATCATATTTTAGTTATTTATAGAGAAGTTTCTATTATTAGCAAATGAGTTAAAAGATACAGAAAGTATTATAAAAGGACATATGAAACTAGGAGCTGTATCTGCTTAAATGGGATCATATAATGAAGGAAAGAATAGTTTTTTGAAGGCTTTAGAAATGGTTGAGAATGATCGTTATTTATATTAAGAGGCTAAATGTGGATTTGCTATTTCGAATGCAGAAATGAATATGGAATAATATTTGAGAGAATAAGCATAATTATTAAAATAATGATACTAATTCAATATTATAATTTATTATTATCTAATGACATATGTTGTATAATGTAAATATTAAAGAAATTATAGATTATAATATATATATATATATTTATTAATAATTTTAATGTGTGATATGATTGTTTTATTATATCATATTCTCCAAAAGTTAATAATACCATTAACATCACTTGTAGATATTAAGTTATCACTAACTTTATTAATACAAGTGATGGCTGTTTAATGTCCAAATTTATCATCTTCTGTTTTTTATCCTATATTAATAATAATTATCATTTAATACCTTTTCCAGAAAACATTTACTTTGCAGCAGCAATACTTCCTGATTTCTATACTTCTCCTTCTGCAGCTAAACATTTCTCAATAATTGATGTAAATTTTAAAGTAGGTTCACTACTCAATAAAACTGGTTTCCTATCATATCCTACTCCTACTAAAGTGGAATCATTTATATATATTATTTTATTAAATGGTTTTGTCTCCTTTATATAAGTTGCCTAATATATATATATAATTTACATTTTTATCTTCATTATCAACAATCAAACTACCATCTTCATTAAATTAATATTATTTAATTAATCCTGTATGTGCTGCAACAGCGAATTTATTACCTGATTAAGTAAAATCAATAGAATTAATCCATCCATTTAAATTTATAGTTACAAGGATTTCTCCAAATGTTCTAATATCCTTAAAAAGACCATTATATGTTTAATCTTCAAAATTCATATTTTCTTATATCACACATGAAACTAATTTAAATGTTTAATCAGTTGATCCTAATCCTAATACTCTTCCACTTGGATGAAATCTGCATGCAGTTACACTTGAATAAAAACAATTGATCTATTAATTATGCCACCAATTATTTTTTTCTTCAAAAAATAATACAAAAGCTTTATGACATGCAGTTCCAACTACACATTTTTATCCATTTGGGGCCCATTCTCCTGATAAAATAGCCTTCTCATTTGTGATAATGACTAAATCTTTGTTCCATTAATTATTTATATTTCTATATACAAAAACCTATCATCATCTTAAAATTTACGCTTCTATCATCACTTCCAATTAATATTTTGTTATCTATTGACCAAGATAACACATTAATTTATTATGATGCATCCTTCAACGTAGATACTTTTTACCATGTTCCAATTTTCTCTAATTAACCAATTTTATAAATATCTGCATTGCTGGTATTCTTAATAGAAAGAGCAACAAATTAGCCATCTGGTGACCAAGTATGAGTTACCAACTTTTATTATTTCAGATAGGATTCAGTCATTTTTATTAATAATAATATTTATATTCTAAAATATAATTGAAATCCATAATTTAATAGGAAAATCAATTAAACTAATAACTATGAATAAATAAATTAATATAATTGTCAATTCTATATTTTTCATTTATAAATTTTATATTATATATAATATACTCTTAATTAAGTAATATTTTAACTAAAATTTTACTTCACTTTTTATAATATATATTTACAATCTATAAGTTAATTTAATATAATAAATATCATATGTCATTAATTAAAGCTCCTTAATCTCCTTAAATAATCAATCATTTTAAAGATTAATCAAAGAATAATAATAATAATAAAATCTCATAGTCAGTTAAAGTAGAAAAATCAAGAAACTCTATTATTGATGAATAAGATGAATAAGCGACTGTAATCAAATATAAAACCAGTTAAGGAGACTTTTTATAATTCGATAATTCTATTTAATAAAAAGGGTCTCCTAATGAAACCAATATATTAATAAATAATAATGATTAATCAAATTCATTATAAATCAGAAACCAAACTGATGATGCTATGTTATCTATTTCACCAAAAGGTTGCTGTTTTTGTGGAAATATCTAAAATGTATTTCCTATTTGTTAATGTTCTCAAGCTCATCAAAAATGTGCTGATTAATACCTTTAATAAGGTCCATATTTAGAACAAATCCTATGCAAAGATTGTAATTAATATAGACATGTCAATGGTGTTATTAATTTTGATTTTAGTTAATGGAAATAAAGTAAATCTTCTTTATTATTGGAATGCTTATTTTTATTTATAACTCTAGCTATTTTTGGAGTTTTAACATACTTTTCCTTTTTTGAATTGTATGATGAAATTGCCAAAGATAGATTATTAATCTCTTGTTTAGTATTTTCATTTACTGTATGGTTTATTTTACTCATATGCTTGATATCTAAGATACTTAGTCATTTTAAAAAAGTAAAGTTACTTATTAAAAGATTTGATCCAAAAAATGTGTAATATAATTAGAATTATGTGAATTTAATGATGAAATTATGAATTTATTGATTATATGACATCATTATTAAACAAATCAATCAATTTTCCTTAATTAATTAAAATATTATTTATATTAATGATTTTTGAGATTTCAAATTACTGTAAAGATATTAGTAATTGTTTTATATCCTCTAATATCAATTCATGTTAGAATGGAGCATTTTTGCTTGAAAAAATACAAACCTTACAAGTATTGTGATTAATAATATTATTTGATAGGATAGCTTGAAAGAGTTTGATTTTTGGTTTAAAACTTAATTCAATAATGAAGAACTTTTAGTCAATTACATTTACACTGAATTACTAGAAGTTAGAAAAATTAATAAAGTTGTGTAATTTAAAAAAATTGATGAAAAATCATCAGAAATCAAAGGCTTAAGTATTGATTCATAAAAGAGTGCAGAAACTTAATCCAGCATTTGTAGTGCAATGTAGTATAATTAAACATAGCTTTAGAACTAATTATAGACAATACTCTAAAAAATTATAGAAAAAAGGATAAATATTGATGGAACTTCTTAATAATAACAAAGAAGAACAAATAAATTAATCAAATCTCTAAACTCCTCCAAAATCTTATTCACTTGATAAAATATATTATGTGATTAATTTTGAAATTAATTGTTTGAAACAGTATGAAATCAGTGGAGAAGAAGAAATTTAATTGTAAAAGATCTAAGAAAAAGAAATATTAAAGTGGATACTTGAAACGGTCTAAGCAAAAAATAATTACAAATAAATTTTATAATGTTTAATAAACTCTGCTTAGGATTTAGCAAATTATTAGATGGAAGATTTTACTTAAGCTATTGAAAAATTAAACATTTAGGGATCCTCATTTACTAATGAAGAATATAAACGATCTATTAGCAACTAATCTTTTTAGATGAATTAAGATGCTTTTAAATAATTAATAGTAGATAAAATAAAATAAAGTATGTTAGAATAAAATGAAAAAAAATAAAAAAAGAGAATTTCATCTAATAAATATGATACTACAGATTCAAAAGTCTGTATGTGTTCAATATTTTGATAAACATATTGATTTTTTAATTTGTTTATTGTTACGTAACAAAATATTCAATTTTATTTTATCATATTAATTTTATTGAAAATATTGAACTAAATAATAATTTTTGTTTTATTTTTTTTATTATTAGAGTCTGACAATATTTAATACAAAAATAATCTTGTTTTCTTTGTCTTAAACAAAAATCTTCTCATAACTATCTGTAATGTTCTATATATCATAATTGTTATTGTTTAAAGTAAATATACTAAAATTATTTTGAATCAAATTTATTATATTTTTATCGCTAATTAAGTGTTTACTTTGAAACTCTATCATAACTATCTTCAGGATTCATTCATACATATTAAAAATATCTGACATATTAATAGCAAATATAAGATTTTTTCTCAGACTTTAACTTAGAATTTCTTTTAAATGTAAACTCTCAAAAATTCTATTTAAGATAGGTAATGTTAAGTTTGTAAAAATAGAAAAATGAAGTCAATTATCTTTCTAATAAATTAATTAAATATTATTATTAGAGATGTAAAAAAACATTAATATTCTATTATTTTACAGATATAATATAATAGATAGTGCAATTATAAAATTAAGTTAATATTATTATTAAATACTTATAGTGAAATAAGTCAAAAGATATTTACTCAAAACAAAAAAATAGAATAGGAATAAGTAATTTAGATTTGTAAATTATAATTTATTTATTAAGAATATAGGATTCCAAATAAAATTTAAGTCAGTAATTTAATATTTAAATTAAAAAGAGATCAAAATAATTGATAATTAAATGTTGTAAATAAATAAGGGCTATATGAATTTAGTTCTATTATCAGCAAATATTTTTCAGTAAAATATTTTATTGTAAGTTGAAAATATATTTTTATTTAATTCATTTGATTGAAATATATACATTATGGGTAATGTTTGTTGTAGAGATGATTCAAGATAATAAAGAGGTTATCTTTTCTATATTATTTTAGATGAGTTAGATACTTCACCCAATCCTGAGGCTTCAAAGCCTCCTGAATAAAAAGCCTTACTTTCTTAGTAAGGTAGCAAAAATGCACAAATTGAAGAAATTCAAGCATTAATTGAAAATTAAAAATGTGAATACAGTGAAGTACATTAGGAACCTGAATAATTATAAGCTGTTGTTATGAAAGAAGAATAATATAAAAATCCTGAAATAATTCAATCATAAAAAATAACAAATGAAAAAAGTAGAAATAAGTTACTAATATTTAGTAAAAAATGAATTAATGAAAAGTAGTTAGGAAGCAGATTCAAAATCTAAAAAAAGAATAAAGTTAGGGTTTGATATATTTGTTAAAGAAAAAGAGGGATCAATAGGATAACATTATATTTTTGGTAAGGTATTGGGTTAAGGTGCTTTTGGTAAGGTATGGAAGGTCACTCATAAAACTACTGGGTTGGTTAGAGCTATAAAATAAATTAAAAAAAGTTCATTAATTAAAGAAGAAGAATAAAGATTGTTTTCTGAAATGAATATTCTAAGAAACTTAGATCATCCTCATATAGTTAAATTATTTGAACTGTATTAAGATGAGAATAATTATTATTTAGTTACTGAGTAATTTTATTAGAATATATAGATATTTATCAGGTGGAGAACTATTTGATCGAATAAAGAAGATGTCTTCATTTAGTGAGAGTATAGCTGCTGATTATATTCGATAAATATTATTGGCTACTTTACATTGTCATGAATAAAATATAGTACATAGAGATTTAAAACCTGAAAATATTATATTTATAAGTGAAGATCCATAATCTTAATTAAAAGTAATAGATTTTGGTACATCTCGTAAATTTGACAATTAAAAAGTAATGAGTAAAAGGTTAGGAACGGTATTTCAAAAAATCATTCTTATTTATAGCCATATTATATAGCACCTGAAGTTCTTGGACATTCTTATACTGAAAAATGTGATATTTGGTCTTGTGGAGTGATATTGTATATATTATTATGTGGATATCCACCATTTGTTGGAAAAACAGAAAATCAAATATTAGATAGAGTTAAATTGGGTAAATTTACTTTTGATCGTAAATTTAAATTACATAATTAAAATAGCCGAGGATTGGGAAACTGTTTCTAAAGAAGCTAAAGAATTCATAACAAAATTACTTAGAATGGATCCTAATAAAAGATTATCTGCTAAATAAGCTCTAGATGATCCATGGTTAGCTAAGTATGCTCCATCTACTTAAGTAAATAAAAAAGCTTTAAATAATTTAAGATAATTTTAAGTATTTTTTACAATAATTTTTTTGATAGGCAGAGACTATCTTAAAGTAAGCATTAATGTCTTATATGATTACATAAATGTCAACTCAAAAGGAGTTATAAGATTTATAAGAGGAATTTCAGAGATTAGATGAAAATAATGATGGTTTTTTATCTAAAGAAGAATTATTGAAGGGATATCTACAAATCTAAACAGATCATAAATTAGTAGAAGATGAAGTTGAAAGAATATTATAGATAATTGATATAAACTAATCAGGTTAAATTGATTTTTCAGAATTTTGTATGGCAGCTATGAATTAAGAGAAATTATTATCAGTCTAAAGAGTTGAATAAGCATTTAAGATTTTTGATTAAGTTAATTATTGTCATAATATAGAATGGAGATGGTTTTATATCAAAAAAAGAATTAGAAGCAGTTATGGGTGATTTAGGTGATGATGTTTGGAATCAGATATTAACTGATTGTGATAATAATGGAGATGGATAAATATCTTATGAAGAATTTGTTAAAATGCTAAAGAATAAAAAACTTTGATTTTAATATATATTATTATTATATTAATCTATAATTTATAGATGCAATAAACAGTAGTCACAATAGATCCATCTGTAATTCTTAATTTACTATTAAGGTTTGTCATGCAAAATTGAAGAGTGATAAAACATTATGTGGATTAGCCTACTTTGATGATTAAAAATCTTAAAGAGGAATAGTCTTGGAATCCTTAGAATATTTCAGGTTGATGACATTCTTTAAAAATTACAATTATGAAGGTTTTAAATTAATATAATTACTAGGACCTTCTGATATTTTATTAATATATTTATGGGTAGTGTCTGCACATATGATAAAAATTATAGAAAATGACTAAGATTAATAGGTTGCTGCTAAAAGGCTTGATGAAATTGCCAGAGAAGCCATTCCAACTAGAAATGGAGATAGAAAAAACTTTCTTGGAGGACTTCTCAAAGAAACTCCAGGTGAAACAGATAAAATATAAGCATATTTGAAGGGACTTAAAGATATTCTTGCAAAAGAAATAATAGCTAAGTAAGTATTATTCTAAATTCATTTAAGATTTTTCAAAGATGGCAAAAGAACATTTGATGCTAAGTTTTGGAGTGGTATTGCAAAAAGAAAGTTTATGGGATTGAGTTATACAGGATTATGAATTGAATTTATATTAATATATATATATATAGAATTGATTAATATGAAATATTTATATAAATTATATAGTATTATCATTCCGCTCAAATTTATTATTAAATTATTTAATTAAGAATGAGGAAATATATAGGTTTATTCACACTTGAATATCCAATTAATCATTGTGATGTAGCTTTATAATTAAGTAAATAAATTGTTCAAATTTAAAGATTAAAAATTAATTTTGCATAGTGATACTTTAGTATTTGATGAAAGAATATCTAATGGTGGATAATTAAATATAAAGCTTATGCCCACTAATATAATATCTTATTTATACACAGAAGATGGATAGTATGTAAAAAAATATAAATATTGTTTAAGTGTACAAAATTATATCATTTCTATTAAGAAATTTGGTCATTTTTATTAAATTATGATTATGTTTCTTTGAACATATCAGTATTAGATATTACACAGTATAACTATATTGTTCAATTTAAAGTTTATTTACTTGAAAAATCATTTAAAGAATAAGAAAAAATTATTAGTTAAATTAAAAAAGTTGATTAAAATGAAAAAGATTCAAAAAAAGAAAAAGCTAAATAGAAATTAGTACATTAATATGCAAAAGAATCATTTATTATTTTATTTGAAATTCTTAATCTTAAAATTTCATAGAGAGCATCTTTAAGACCTAATTAAGAAACATAATATTTAGATTAATTTTTAGTTGAAAAATTTGGCAATCTCGAATTTTATGAGTATACTTATCTTTCTAAGAATCTCCTTATTCCATGCAATCTCAATAAAAATTAGGTTAATGTTACTAAAGATAAAATAATAAAAATTAAAAAATAAGTAAAACCAGATGATGAAGAAGGATAAATTTAAATTGAATAATAAGAAAATGATACTAATTTATTTAGTGTTAATGAATAATAATCATTTTAATTTACTTTATGTAAATAACCAGAAGATTTAAAAAATAATTTATTTAATTATTAAGCTTAAGCAATTTAATGGATGTTATATCGTGAACATAGAATTAGTGCTTAAACATTAAATTTACAGAATTAATAATAGAGTTTAAATAAAATGTGGAGTGAAATATAAATTAGTGATGATATTAATATTTATTTCAATGAATTTACAGGTCAATTTTCAGAAAAAGTTGTAGCTTCCAAAGATGTAAAAGGTGGTATTTTAGCAGATGCAATGGGTTTAGGAAAAACTATTTGTTCTATAGGTTTAATATTATTGGTAAAGGAAATGAAATAATAATAATTGAATGATAATAATTAAGAACCATAAGGAAAAAAAGTAAAATTAGAAAAATAGAATGGTAATACACTTTTGGTTGTTGAATTAAGTGTATTTGAACATTGGATAGAAGAAATTGAGAGACATACTAAATAAAATAAATTAGAAGTTTATTAATATTATAAACCATAATCTAGAGTAAAAGAAATTTAATTAGAAGTTTATGATATAGTAATTACAACATATGGCGTACTTAAAAAGGATTGTACTAAAAATGGATTATTATACATGTATGAATGGGAAAGAATCATTTTAGATGAAGCACATGTTATTAAAAGTAAAAGTACAGCTTGTGCAAAAGCTGCATCTTCTATATAAGCTAAATGTAGATGGTGTCTAACAGGAACTCCAATTTAAAATCATTTAGAAGATTTATATAGTCTTTTTCATTTTTTATAAGTTGAAACTTTCTCAGATTATTATTGGTTCAATCATTATATTAATAAATAATAAGATAAAGCAGCCAAATTCAATTTATTACATGAAATTCTTAAACCTCTTTTATTAAGAAGAACTAAATAATCAGAATCAATTAAATCTTCATTAAATTTACCAAGTAAACAACATTTCATTTTTAGAGTAAAAATGTCAAAACAAGAACAAAAATGTATTTTTTATTATAAATAATTAAGTTTACGATACCTTATATTTAAATACTTGTAAATATATAAAAGAATATTTTGGAATTGGATTGGAATAGAAAAAAAAGAAGATTAGATATATGCATGCATTCTAATTACTTTCTTCACTTAGATAATGTTGTGATCATGTAGGACTAATAGCAAATAAACTTAGAAATAAGGCTATGTAAAAGATAGTAGCAACAAAATAAAAATCTGAGTAATTAATTAAATAATTTATTGAAAATGCTTAATAAAATTTGGAAAAAAGTTTAAAGGCTTAGATTCTATAATTATAATAGAAACAAGAAACAGCTGCAAATCAAAATTAAATGGAAGAAATTGAAGAAGATGATGATTTATCTATTGAGGATTAATTTTCAGATAATTCATCAACTGCAGATGAATCAAAATCTTTATTAGATTTAAATTAAATTGAAAATGATTTAAGAAATAAAATCTAATATTTAGATAAAGTATAAATGGATATATAATCTCCTGAATTTGCTTAGAAAAAATATGAAAGTATATTTCAGAAGGTGAAGAATGATGACTGTGTTATATGCACAATTCCTTTAAGGGAAAAAAATATAATTTATTATTTAAGTTGTGGCCATGTATTTTGTTCTTGTATAGAAGATATATTTAAAAATAGAAATGAAACAATTCCTTGTCCTATTTGTAGATAAGAAATTGAACAAAAAGGCAAAATTAAATTATATTAAAATCTCCAAAAAATTTAAGAAGAATAGCCATAAAAATAAAATATTTAAGAAGAAGCCAATGTGCCTAATTAATAAGAATGGTATTAAGAAAGTTCAAAAATAAATGAAATTCTTAAATATATAGAATATGTTTGGAAAAAAAATGAAAAAGTTGTTGTTTTTACTTAATGGTTAAGTATTATGAATTTCATTGAAGGTAAGTTAAGAATAAAAGGAATAGAATTCAAGAAAATTTAAGGAAAGATGGATAAAAATTAAAGAAAAGCATCGATTAAAGATTTTTTTGAAAAATAGATAACTGTAATGTTAATATCATTAAAGGCAGGAGCTTATGGTATTAATCTTAGTTGTGCAAATCATGTTTTGCTAGTTGATCCTTGGTGGAATCCAGCTGTAGAGTATTAATTAAAAATAATTCTAGGGATCAAGCTGTAGAAAGAGTACATAGATTAGGACAACAAAAATAAGTTTAGATAGTTAGTTTTATTTGTGAAAATACAATAGAAGAAAGAGTTTTATAAATGCATTAAAAGAAAAGACAATTATTTAAGGATGCATTGCAATTAAAATTTAATGATCATGAAGAGTTTAGTTTTTAAGATTAGATAGAATTTGTTATGAATTAAAAAATGGACTCTTGAAAAAATAATATATAAATTTATTCTTTATTACAATATATTTAATCACTATAGATTAAGTAAATCTTGAATTAAAACTTTATTAAGTTTACGTCTAAAAATATAAATAATAATTTTACTTCTTTGTGGTACCAAAATTTACAAAATCAAATTTGACAATGTTTTCACTTATTTTAATTTCCATTTAATCTTCAATAAGTTAAGGTCTACTTTATTATTATTTCTTTTCATGATTTTTATTTGTAAAGTTTTGAAATGATTGCCAAGTTCCATTGGCCGACTCTCTCAATCCTTCTCCATCATGAATGAACCATCTATAATAATATATAAAATATACTCATTATTTTTATAAATAATTTAAGCTTATCTCCTTGAGACAGTATTTATATTAACTAAAACATCACATTCTTAGGATCTTCCAATTTTATAAATAGATTCTTAATTGTAATTAGCAACAAAAATATGAGTTTATATTTAATGTATTGCTTAATTATCAAATTAAATTTTTAAATAGGGTTTATCATATTAACTTAGTTTTTATGAAGTTCTTTATTTTTATTTTGTAGTTTTTATTTCATTAAGAGTAATATTTAACATATCAGTTTCTTCTAATGTTAATCCATGAATCTTAGCTCCTTTTCTTATATGTTCTTTGGCAAGAGCATTATAGAAATAATTTTGATCTTTCACCTTCTTAGATTTATTTTATTTTGGTTATGATTTTATCTCCAATACATGGAAAAAAGTATCTGCACCTATTAAATAAGTATTTTCTTATTCAATTTTTCTTAATTTGTCCTTTTTTATTTTCATAAAAGTACCATTTCTGGTTCCATTATCACATATATAAAATTAAGGTTTATTTCTAGAAATTATTGTAAATATTACTTTATAAAAGAATAAATATGCTTAATAACTTAAAAAGGTAGTTTTGATGCATGTGGATTATTCCTAAAAAGAGAGAAGAAAAGTATGAGAGGTTGAGTGAGAGTATTTGAGAAGGTGAATCCTTTATCAGTTAAAATTTTGCAGTGAACTTTTTCAACATTCTTATCTCCATGTGGTAAATCTTAAATAAT